GCGTCCCTGTGTGTGTAATAAGCAAAGTGTACGCGCGTTGTGCACCCGCCTATAGGCGCATATTACTAACGCGCTCTTTAAATAACAAGGAAAAAATATTGCGCCAGACTTTATACCAGGTTTGAGTTGGTCTATGGCGCAGTCTATTTCAGTTCCTCAAAATAGCAACGCGCCAACAATGCGCCTGAACACACCTCTTTTTTAGACCAGCATGCCCATGGGCGCACAAATGGGCGCAAATGCATTTGCTATTTAAACAATGCAGCGCAGGACGGGAAAATAAGAAATGCGTCGGGCTGAAACTAGCAAAAACACTTGCGCCGCATTGCGCCGGGTGTATGATAGGACCCGTAATCTTTGACAAAAACGCAATTTTCTCAGCTTTTTGTTAAAAAATGTTTTTTAATGAAACCTACCCTCATTCAAGTATTGATAAAAAAGAATGCATGAAGCTAGAATAAAACATAAAAACGTAGAATAGAAATGTTCAGATAGTCAACACTGCAAAATATTCTGAGGGGCCATGAAAGTTTTGTGAAAATTATAAAAAATGCTGGCGAGGAGAACTTTCTGTCATTTATGAGAGAGAAGGGGGCGCTATTACACACATACACAAAGAGTACTGAATGTCTGGATCAAAACACAGTGAAGAAGAAGCAGAAACAAGTGAGTGCATGTGTAAGCAGAAGCTTATGTAAAATAACGCGATCATCAATTATTAAGCATTAGCAAGATGATTAGCCCCTTCTGGTAGATGTTGTAAATACACTGTATAGTTCTAAAAAGCATCTTTCTGCATTGAAGGTCATTCAAAACAAGCCATGTATTCGGATGAAATGTATTAAAAAGGTTTTAATAATCATAATAATATTCAAAATGAATAATTTACTTTTCGCTTGCAAGTTCCTGAAGTTCTGAGGATCTCGCTGTTCTTGGCACCTTTTCAGACATGAACGATTCAGTGGATTGTTAGTAGCAATGAAGCAGAAGTAGCGACAGATCTTTTCTTATGTATTGTGATGGCACTTCAAGTGTAATGAATTGTGGAAAAAGAAAAAATGTAGGGCGGGACTTGGTTCTATGGATCATTGTTGATTGGATGTTGAGATATGGGCGTGGCACTCAAATGAACGCAGGTTTTGATTTTGATTTAATGCCAAATTTAGACTCGTCTAACTGGATCATTGAATCAGTAAGTTGTTTGTTGACTCATGAACAACCCGAAATTTGCGGATGAATCACTCAGTGTGATTTGCAAACCGATTCAACATGTTCATTGAAAAGAATCAGCTCATTCACAAATCGGACATCTCTATGATGTGTTGGAGCGGGAGCTGAACTCTAAAGTTTGAAATAATTAAGGAAGGATATGTTCTTTTATGAAATGTAGTGGATTAAAAGGTTCAATATTATGCTTCGGAATGTAGACAAGTAAAGGACAGATTCTTGAAAAAATTTTCAAATACTGGCCACTACTGGGTAAGTGACGGCATGTGACTGATGTTCAAAGAGATTTAATTGAAAGTAACGTAGAACATCCATTTAATCTTCTGGTTTCACTACACTATGCAGGGTTTTTTTCTCTATTGTGTTGCGTTTCATCTCTGATCAAATAAATACAATTAGAAAAGGCTTTTTCCATTGAATTCAGCTACACATCCACACAAAAGCTTTTCTAGTGTACTATACTTCTGTTGTCCACTCTCGTGTCTGTCATACAACACCCAACCTGTATTATATTCAAGACAAACACTGAAAAGAATGAACATTGTCACCGTTTGGTCTCTAAAATTGCCTTTTATTACTCCTCCGCCTTTCAAACAGCTGCTGCTGGTGATGCCATCCTTCTCTCTGAGCTCTGTTAAGCTCTGAATAGCCAGAGTACATTGTTTCTTTTCGTTGCCTATTGCTTGATCCACAAGTTTTCCAAGTGCCAGTCCAGAAGGTTAGTAATGTTAGTAATGTTTTCACTGGCATAGCCTTGAGGGATTAACAGATTTCTCCCATTATCTTACATGGAACATTCCATAATGTTTCTACTTGTGTAGTTTTGTTTTATAAGGTTTCATTTGTATCGATATACCCATCTGACATGGCTTGAATAGCTTGGTCATATAACTTTACGTGTTCACATGACGTCATACCTTCTCAGTATCCTCTTTCTTCACAGATTTGAGGTTGGCTCGTAGGTCCATTGAGACTTTGTGCTTTGAGCCTAGGAGAGATCGGAGGATGGCGTCTGCTGAAACCCTCACCCTCCTCAGGGAGGGCCGCTTGAACTTCCCCCTCAGGTCCAGAACCTTAATGTTCAGGTCTTTGACCTAGAGGATGAACAGTTGTTTGTTTAATAACTTATTAAACATCTATAAGCATAAAGACACATTAAGGCTTTGTTCTAAAAGCTAGTGAGCTCACTACATAGATAGAATTCTCCTTCTACCTCGGCATAATATACTTGTGAAAATTTAATCCAAAAGGTAGGCAGCATCATACCTTCCAGGTTCAAAGGTAGCATTGCATTACTGCTGAATAGGCCAACTTACCTACTATAACATATAGGCGAAAAACAATACGGGAAATAAAGAGAATTTCAGAGATCATATTCATTAAATAGTAGACGAATACCTGAAGTGGCTCAACTGACGCCGTAATTAGCGACAGTAGCTGTTTCCATCTGCCTATTTTTATGTGCATTTTGGGATATCGCATTAAAAAATGCTGAATGGAAACGGCAAGATACGCATAGGTTCTAAAAAAATGCGCAAAAAAACACATGTGCTCAACTGAGTCAGGTACATGTTTTATCCAATAATAAAACATGCCTAAATTACGATGGAAACACATTTACCGTGTCTTCTCCTACTGCAATAAATTACATTTTTCTTACTGATATTTGGCGCCAGTTTATCAGGAAGTGACGATTTGTTCTCTTCATCTCACTGGATGGAAACGGTGATTTATGTGCAAATGTTTAATGCCATATTCCAATTTTGCGCATAAGTTAATTTTGCAACTTTGGATAGAAAAATAGCTAGTGACAACATGATGAATCCGGATTAAATTCATACTACACACATTCATACTAGCACTGTAGTACTCAGTATGCAATTTCGGACACAGCTCATGAATTCGTTTTGGAGAAGGCAATCCTATAATGCACTGCAATGAACAAATCCATTCAAAACAGCAAACTAAGCAAGAGAAATGTCAATTATGAGCAACATTCTTTCAAAAGTGAACAGTACATCTAAATATAGTTCATAATAATTAAAATGTACTATTTTAGTCAATGTTTTTGTGTACTTTGATGCACTTTTTAAGCTGATAAGAGTGCCATGTTGTTAGCTTAGCAACATGCTAATGCCAAACAGTATTGGAATCAGTTGGGAGTTGATTCCCAATAGCACTGTTTGTATGACACACAGTTGAAGTCTGTTTGCATTATTCCTAATTAGGTTCCATTTCAGTTCATATGTTGCCTATGTAGGGAGTAGAGAGCAAGACAGCTCACATAGTTTTGGAACAAAAGGTGGAAAAATTCTTCCACCTTTTCATGAAATCGCAGTTACTCAGAACTGCACACTAATATTAGAATCCTACAAATAGAGCAGATGAAGACAGCAAGTTGTGACATTGTCCAGCTGGTTATTAAACTATGGCTTAGGTGGATTATCATACCTCACGCTTATTCAGTGAGACTTTGGCTTCAATATCATAGCGCTCCTCATCCACCACATCAATCTTAGCATGAAGCTCTTGACAAAGTTCCTAAAAGAGACAGAAATGTTAATCAGGAATCCTTTTTGATGTGAATGCGTATTATATTACGCAGGGTCCCTGTTGAAAAAACCAGCATATGCTGGTTTTTTCAACAGGGGTGCCGACTCTGACAACATTAAAGCTTAACCAATAGGTCTTTTGTTATAAGAAACCAAATATCATATGGCAATTTTCCTAGTTATCATTTTACTCAAACATACATCTCATAATAATGCCCATGGTTGGCTTTTTACATTGCAATTAATCAAATTAAGACATTTGCATCAGCCTTATGAAAGCTAATATGCAAATAAATAGGCAGAGTGGCGCAAGCAGCAGTGATTGTACCATTAGATTTCAAGTCGTGAGGATTTTCATGTGGCACCAAATGAGCAAAACGGTGGAATTTGCCGGTGGACTTCATTTGAAGAACACTTACCTGAAGCTCAGCGAATGACATGCCCTGTGTCTGCAGAGGAGGAACTTTCTCCATCAGATACCTCTGCTTCTCCTCCTCTTTATCCAACACCTCCTGATCCAGCTCCTCCTTGGCTTTGGCCACCATCAGACTCTGAAAACACACAACTGTATGTCAATGGGACTGTTCCAATATCCACACTTTTGGTCTTTGCTTTTGACCAAATGTTCAAGTGGGCATGGAGAACTTTTAAATACCTGATGGACACACTTAGAGTTGTAAAAAAAAAAGCAAGTTTTCACAGAGCTTTATTTACACATATTGGTTTTCTATACTTTGCACTTCAAAATGAACTTATAATTGTCTGTTTAGTATCCCTATGCAGCATAAAACACAGTGTATTAATTGTGGTGCTTCTAATTAACTGAAAAAAGCAGTTTTTTGAAAAAAGCAAACATTTACTACCAAATTATGTGTAATAGCCTAATTAATTTGATGAATGATGGGACACGCTTAGCCTCAAATACCGCTCTGAAGTGGATTCAGTGTTCTTTAAGGAACTATTCGTTGTCATTTTTCAGTCCTGGGACAGTCTTGCACACTTATTTTCAAGACTCCAGGTGTAGATATTGGGACAGGCCCAACATTGGTTTAGACACATTTCTGCCATCTAGTGGTGTGTTACTGTTCTCATGAATTAGTGTTTTGAACAAACCTCTTACCTCTAAGTATTACAATATATATCATAGCTCTTAAATCTCAAATAGTGCTGCTTGTTAAGAGGGGCAAATTATATATATGAAAGTAAATGCTGAATTTATATGAGCTGCAAACCAACCTTTAGCATAAGCTTTCTTGAGGCTGAGATCTTGGATTTCCTCTGGGCCAGAGATGTGAAAGTTATAACACAGTACAGGTAGTACAGATGATCACGTAATCAAAGTTTTAGTTATTAGAGGAAATAATGCATAACTTACCTCTTGCCTGAAAATACAGCATAAAATGTACGTTAGTATATACTGACAACTTATTACGAGATATTATTGTTGGTCTTAGAGAGCCACACTTACCCTTGTTCAGGCATCTTGGCAACTAAAAGAGAGCAAAATCCTTTTATTCAATGTTTTCTAGATGAATTTGACACATGAAATCAAATTTAACTCGGTACTCCCACTGAATGAATCTATGAATACATCACGGCCACATCCTGTCCTCCTCTGACCCACTCACATTTTCTGCATATCTCTAGTCAGTGACCGAAACACCCCTCAAACAAAGTCATGAGTGATCCTACTACTTTCTCAGCTGCATTAACACAAAGAGCATAAATGTGGACCCGTCCGGTTCCACAAATAGAAAGTTATCTAAAGAGGTAAAGCATCTGATGAATGGTGAATTTTGGGAAAAAATTTATAAATGCTTGAGGTTGCAAGAAAATTGTCAATTACTCACAAATATCAACACGAGTAAAAAAAAATGACAATAATGTAATATTTAATATAGTATGGTATAATATAATAATATATAGTCCATCAGTTCTCCAAACCAATTGTCTTATGTAGGGTAAATTATTATATTATATGATATTATATGATATGATATTGTATTGTATTGTATTGTATTGTATTATATTATATTACCGGTATATTATATTATATTACCATTATATTATATTATATTATATTATATTGTATTGTATTGTATTGTATTGTATTATATTATATTATATTACCGGTATATTATATTATATTACCATTATATTATATTATATTATATTGTATTGTATTGTATTGTATTGTATTGTATCGTATCGTATATCATATTATATTATATTCTTAAACATTTCATCTGCAGAAATTATTCACAATAAACAGTAGTCCTCCTCTTGATGAGTTACATCAACTTAATTGATAAAACTATTATTTATGTTAAATTATATTTCTCTAATGCATCATAATGACCCATCTAATTGCCTTGACCATTATGAAAGACCTTATTAATTATGAAAATTATGAGAATTTCAGGATGAAGAATACTGATAAAATATCTAAGTCTAGAATATAGAACAATGTAGAATAAATGTAGAATGAAATATCTAAATATAGAAATGTATACAAAAACAAAACAAAACAAGAGTACATCAAAATTAACGGAAAACCGGTTACATGTAGTTTATCATGAAATATACTATGTTTAAATGTCTATTGTGATCAGCAGATTTCCCATCAGTAGAAGCATCTTACCTTACAGTGTGTTGGTATTGTGTTGTCCTCAATCTGATAATTCATAACAGAATAGAGATGTGCTCCCTTATTTAACCCAGAGCGTCTCTGTATCTCGAATCTGTCAGTGGAGGATATTATTAGAGCACAAATCTTTCACTCTCTCTCTCTCCTTGTCTGTCCCGTGTCTAGGTTCATCTCATGGCTCCACGGCTCTTTACTATCTGTCTGTCTGCTGTGCCAGTGGACCATCACTGGTCTGGCTTATCTGCTCAGAGCCGATCCGTCTGCTATGCTGTGAAATGTCAATATACAGTGGCTCCAAAAAGAATTTGGACACTTAAGCCGTTCTTAATGATGGAATGTCATTGTATTAGATATAAAACATCAAAACAAATGTTGCTAAAGCTTTTCTCGGGACTAACACCACTTTTCTAAAGCATTTTACTGGCAGGGATTTTTCCACACAGGTGTCCTATTGGAATAACCACAGGTGTAGATCATTACGTTAATTATCAACATGATTCAGTAACATCTGGCAACCAGAAAAATGTCAGAATTAAAGGAATAGTTCACACAAAATATGAAAAATTGCTGAATATTTACTCACCCTCTGGTCATTCAAAATGGTAGTTTGTTTCTTCGTAGGAACAGATTTGGAGAAATTTATCATTACATCATTTGATCATCAATGGATGCTCTGCAGTGAATGGGTGCCGTCAGAATGAGAGTCCAAACAGCTTATGAAAACATCACAATAATCCATAAGTAATCCACACCACTCCAATCCATCCTGTGAAGTGAAAAGCTGTGTGTTTGTAAGAAACAATCCATCATTAAGACATTTTAACTTTAAACTTCTGGCCAAAATATGACTCCATATTCCATAATCTGCTTTCTCCAGTGAAAAAGTCCATCTCCTGTTTTTCTCTCACATCAGATCCACCCACATATTTGTTTAGAACTGTTTTGGACTGTTTTCACTTGTAAGCGGTGCTTGCTCTGTGCATATTTCATTGGATTCAGACTAGACACATTTTTTTACTGGAGAAAGCAGATTGAGGACTCATGTTTTTAAATGGAAGAGACAGTTTGAAGTTAAAATGGTCTATAATGATGGATTTGTTTCTTACAAACAGCTTTTCACTTCACAAGATGTTAATTTATTGGAGTGGTGTGGATTATTGTGATGTTTTTATCAGCTGTTTGGACTCTCATTCTGATGGCACCCATTCACTGCAGAGCATCCATTGGTGAACAAGTGATACAATGCTACATTTTTCCAAATCTGTTCCTATGAAGAAACAAACTAGAATCTTGAATGGCTTGAGGGTGAGTAAATTTTCAGCAATTTGTCATATTTTGTGTGTACTATTCCTTTAATTCTGACATTTTTCTGGTTGCCAGATGTTAGTGGATCCACTGGTGAGCAAGTGATGCAATACATTTCTAATAAATGCTTACATTAAAATTCACTTAAGAAAGAATGTTTTCCTCTCTCTGTGTGTGTGTGTGTGTGTGTGTGTGTGTGTGTGTGTGTGTGCGTTTTAAATCCAGCACCTGTCGAGCAGCAGGGCACATTCCTCTCCTCACAGATCCCCCTGCAACGCTGAAGCATCTCACCCAAACCCTGATCCACTCATGCTGACCTAGAAAAACACTGACACAGCATGAAGGTCTCACTTAATTTGTGCAATTGCTATGAATATGTATTTTTGGAATAGTACAGTAAAGATACAGTATGCCTGAAGAAGAGGAGACAGCACGGGTGAATAGGGTAAAAAATTGTACTTAGATCTCATCATATTTCCCCAGTTGATTGATTACATTAAGAATCGCAAACTTTTTTTACATTACAAGTTTTCAATGTTATGTGTAAATATGCAAATGTGGCATTATCTAATTGAATATGCACTAATTTGCATAATTTTCCAGAACAGAAATCTGAACATTGTATAAAGCGAGGTTCAAAATTCTTGTTTAATTTTGTTAATTAACCAATCCAATCATGTTACTAGAAGTAACTTTTTTTTTTAGAAAGTTGATTTTATAAATCTGTTTTATCACTTTATAAATCTGAAAATACTGTCACCATGTTTTTAGGAATAAAATGTTGAATAAAACCAGGCGATTGATATATGGACAAACTCCTCTGTAAAACCTTCAAAATATAGATATGAATACAGTATTATAAGTGTATGGTGTATTTAAGTGCTGCTAAAACTGACTGATTTCTGACTCATTTTGAGAAAAAGGACTGTAAAGATATGCACTGTATTTGAAGTGTACAGTCGCACATAGATGTAATAAACACTTAAAAGTGTATTTGGGATGTTTTCTTTCCATTAGTTTGAAACAACATGTTATGAAAAGCCATATAACCCAAAATCTCTGAACTAACCGGTGCATGAAGAATCAATGTTTTTGCCTGTCATGCCTCATCACATTTCAGTGTTGGTTTTATGAAGCCACTTGTTACAGTGGCATGTAACACTAGACCTGACCTTAGATCAACAAACCAGCATGTTTCCATCACATAGGGTCAATGTTATAAAAATATATTTAGACTAAAGTCAGACTGACGTCACGTCATACAACAGCAGCCACACTCTGCCAGAGAATCAGTCATTCACTCAGTCCTCCTGTGTGCCAGAGAACCTGCAGCAGGGCTTTATCTATCTGGATCATGTCAACAGATGCTTCTCTGTAAGTGTATATATATATTACATTACATTAGATAGACATTTGAGCAGCTGAAATTCTTCATCCTAAGCATCAGTCCACATGATTTTTGAGTCAGTCTGCCCTCTGCTGGAGATCTATATGCACTGTCATCCAATCAATTGTGACTTTTTGAAATGTATTATGTAACTCAGGGATTCCCAAGCTCTTTGTCAGTGAAAATATTTATTTGAAGTACCCCTGAGATTGTAAGCTAATATTTTAATAATTTAACAATACATTTGCAAGTTCAGAGTTCTCTAATGTTGGGTAATGGTCACACGACATTCAGCTAAAACAAATTAAATATTCAATTTTTCTTGTGTGTGTGTGTGTGTGTGTGTGTGTGTGTGTGTACCTGTTTTTCTATTCTGGTGGGGACTTAAACCTGAATACACACAGACTCATGGGGACTCGTGTCACGGTGGGGACCTAAATTGAGGTCCCCACGGGTAATTAAGCTACAGTAATAAATCACACAGAATGAAGTTTTTTGAAAATCTAAAAATGCACAAAGTTTCCTGTAAGGGGTAGGTCTAGGTGTATGGTTGGTGTAGGGTGATAGAAAATACGGTCTGTACAGTAGAAAAACCATTACGCCTATGGAGAGTCCCCACAAGGATAGCTGACCAGACATGTGTGTGTGTGTGTGTGTGTGTGTGTGTGTTTTCATTTTGATCGTTTTATTTAAAATTGATTTAAATATGTATTTAAATATTTGATTAATGAGGACTAACCCACCCACAATCTTTTGGGAAAGCCTGACAAAATATAATATAACTTATTAAATATAACTAATAATATATTATTAAATATGTACCTATTAAAAATATATAATTTCATAAATGTTTAACACGTTGTAAATGAATATATACATTATGAATAAATTAACGAATAATTAAAATATACAAACATTGGCTGCTGTACAAAAATGAAGGCTACCAATGCACTAATTAAGCCTAACTTTCCATTTATACATATATCACCATACATATTAATAAGTTCACAGGATTCGCACTTTATTTACAGAGATCTTTCAGGAAAGTTTCTGTTTATTAAACACAAGAGCAGCAGGTTAAAGAGGCGCGCTGAATTCATCAGGCTCACACTCGTCTGCTATTTTAACACAGTTTACACACACATGGTCTCTCTGCTCCTCACATGCCTCTGTCAATGACGCACACAACCTTCTGGAATGTGTCTAGAGAGAGACAGGACAACCACAGTCCAGAGAAAAAACAAACAGCATATTAACCTGAAGTTTTCTGCTTCTTTTGTTTTCATTGAAGAGACAGTCCATCCAAAAGTACAAATTCTGTCACCATTTACACCTCATGTTGATCCAAATCCGAATGACTTCTTTCTTCTATGAAACACAAAAGAAGATACTTTGAAGAATGTTGGTAAAAACTGAACAATCTGAGAAAATAAGGTACACCTTTGTACCTTATTCACCCTAAAGGGTGTATATTAGTAGCTAAAATCTACATAATTGTACCTTTCCTCCAGTGTTTATTATCAGAGCTCAGCTGTTGAACACACTTCACATGGCTGTATCACTGCAGCTCATTTCTCTCATGACTCGTGAGTGTGTTTGGGCGTGAATCCGTATCCATGCCACCGTGTGCCGCCTCTAACCCCATTGAAACCGACACACCTTTGGGAAAAAGATGCCACAACATGTCCAGGTGCAGACTGAAGCATTATGTAACTGGGAGAGACATTCAACAGGAGTCAAATGAGGCAACCTTATTCACTTTGAACATTATGACATGATGTATTTAGAGTAAATAAATAACTACACATTTATAGCTCGTATCTACTTCTGAAGGACTTGCGACGGAGCAAATGAAAGCTTAGCAACCTCTCCAGGACAATTAGTAGCCTGTATTTTGGTCTAATTACAGTTACACTATATACACACACTCAAAGAGGACTTTATTCTGAAACTGCTGTGCACAAGCCATTGCGTACATGTGGGCTGTAAGGAAGCTGCCAGACTGCTGAGTCATCTCAAGGCTTTTTTTAACAGAGCCTCCTCAGAAGCTCCGGCTCTGGGGTTTTCCCCACACACAATCTGCCTATTATTGCAAGGCCGCAGGCACAGCCCAGGGCACCGAACGGCCTGAAGAGATGAGACCAGAGCTATACTGGAGAGAGTCGAATATGGCAGTCGCTGGGTGCCTACGCAGTCTTCAATGCTGCCTACACACTCAGCAGGGGATGTTAGTGGAAGGTCGCTCGAGTGCATTGGTTCATTTGGAACGGATTGCAAAGTCCTAATCGCAGAGTCATACGAATAGAGTTACAGACACTGATGCCTATACGTGTGTTTGTTGATGTTTTTAGTTCTAGTATTTCAACCAACAGCCAGCCTAAGTTTTTGACGGACATGTTAAGGTGCGTGAGGGGTGAGGTGATTTTTTTGAGTATTATAAAATATAATGGAGGCGTTCAAAATGCCCTTTGCCTCGTTCATTATACTTATTTTACAGAATTAAGTTTATTTAGTGGC